TAGGCTACACCTAGCCTGCCTCTAGGTCCTCCACTATCGGGCTAGGGGAGGCTAGCTAACCCAGCCCTGGTTAAGCTGGGATTACGGCGTCCGGAGTCCCCAGACTGGCTCTGACAAGAGCATCGGCTCTGGCTCTCGGGGCCACGCTATTGGCTCGGTCCTGGTCGGCCCTGAGAAGGGCAGCGATCCAGGGGAGTCCCAGGGCTCTATCTAGTAGATCTTCCTTCTTCACTGGTTTAAGCTTAATACATACTGCCCCGAGCCCTCCGGCTCACCCCTTTATATATCCCTCCCCCGTTGAGGGGTGGGGCCGTGGGGGATCCCAGCTCCGTGTCAGCCCCCCAGGCTGAACGGTGCGGACGTCGCTGTGAGCACCTCCCCGCGAACAGACACAGCCACGCCCAGTGTGTTTGTTTACCGTCCGACACAAGTGTATAACACCCCCTCCGTAACACCCCTACATCACCCCCCCCCCCCCCCCCTGTACAGCTTGCAGCCGTCCCGGCTGCAACAAAATAACAATAAAGATGTATCCCCCCCAATCCGTGTGTGCCTCGCGTAATTTTAACAAGAACAACGACAACATGAACAATAACAATAGGAAAGAGAAAATAACCCGACGCACCCCCCCCCGAATAAATACCGAATCCCGTAAAAAAACGCAACATATATACAATTTTCAGGACCTCACAAAAGTCTGCGCATTTTGGTGCGCGTTCTTGCAGCGGACCCGTCACACGGGGCAACCCCGGTTGCCCCAATGGTGGGTGTCAACAGTCCGGTTGCGAGGGAGTCAGGCTTTGCTGCTGAGTGACCCCCGACCTCCCCGGGAGGGGTTGGCGGGCGTGAGCACGTCACTCCCGGTGCACCTGGAGGTGGAACAGTTGGCGGCAAGTTAGGGGAGAGCAGCGAAGTCGGACTCCGGGAGTCGTTGGACCCCTCACATGTTTGGCCACGCGTGTGTGAAGTGGTAACACGGGCCGCAACGAACGGTTTCAATCTGGAGGGGTGCACGAACCACCGACGCTTCCCCCATTTGACACGCACACATTGTGGCCGCAAAACCTGCACCACTTCCAAAGGACCCCGCCACGGCGGCACCAGCTTAGAGGAGGTCGCCAGTGGTACTTGGGGACAGTGCAACCACGCCCTGTCACCTGGTTTCCATTGAAGCACATGCGCCCGACCCAGCCTGAGCCTCTCATTAGCCTTCTGGCGGAGGTCCGAATTCTGCATGGCCGCCTCCCGTGCCTCTGTCAACTTAGCGATGTTGAATTTAACATGTTCGGCCAATTTAGATTTACCCTGCGGCGTGGAGATCTGCAGCTGAGTCAGAACAGGTGGGTTAGGCTCGTGGCCGTACATCAGGAAGAAGGGCGAAAATCCGGTCGCGCATGGGGAGCCATTCTGTATGCCGCCAACACCCCCGGAATCTGAAGGTCCCAATCGGTCTGTGAGTCAGAGACCTGTTGGGACAGCATGGACGTGATAGTCCGATGCAGACGCTCCACCATCCCGTCAGTTTGCGGATGATATGGGGAGGTACGAATCTTTTTCGTTCCCAGGAGCTCGCAGACTTCGTGGAGAAGTTTACCTGAAATTTTTTTACCTTGGTCGGTCAGCAGCCGCTCCGGAGCACCTTTGTCGAGGATGTAGCCCTGGACAAAGGTCTCCACGATGGCTGCTGCCGACTGGTTGGTGAGGGGCCAGGCCATAGGCCAGTACGTAAAATATTCTACCCCGGTCAATAGGTATCTATTTCCCCTGGGCGTAGCGGGGAATGGGCCTAGAATATCAAGCGCAACGAGCTCGTTCACCCTGGAAACTTTGGTAGATTGCAATGGCGGGTTAGACCCCCGCGCTGGTGGTTTCCGTTGCGCGCACTGAGTACACGACCCTAAAAGATCCTCAACATCCCTTGCCATGCCCGGCCAAGAAAAATCCAGCTGCAGCATGGCAAGGGTTTTGTGAGTCCCCAGGTGAAGGAGATGCTCGTGCGCAGCCCACACCACTCTACCCCTCAAAGCGGAAGGCACCACCAGCCGGTGTCGGCGGGATCTCCCGTCCCAATGAATCAACAGACCCTGAACCAACCCCCACGAGTCGACATTCTCCCCCCCCCCGACGCGATGGCGCAAAGCGAGGAGGGAGGTGTCCTCCATCTGGAGGCGCCCCCATTCCGCAACAGGCAACCCCAGCAAGGAATCCCTCCCCTGTTGCTCAATCGGACCCGTTATCGAAGGCGCGTCAGCGGCGGCCGCCAAGACCAGATCAGATATCTCATTCGGAGGCTTGCAACGCCCCGAACCCAGGAGGCATGCGCACTTGGAGGTGGTTGGTAACCGTGACAGAGCGTCTGCATTCGTGTGGCGAACGCCCTTACGATACGTAGTGTCAAAATCGAAATCCTGGAGAATCTCCAACCATCGAGACAATTGCCCCGATGGCTGTTGAACTCGCAAGGCGTACTGCAGTGCCGCATGATCTGTGCGGACGGTGAAATGACGACCGTACAGATATGGGCGATACTGTTGAATGAAGTTAACAATTGCCAATAGTTCCCGTTGGGTAACACAGTATCTTTGTTCCACCGGAGACAACACCCGACTGCCGTACGCTACCACACGTTCCACGCCGTCAACCACCTGCGAAAGCAAGCCCCCAATGCCCGTGTTGCTCGCGTCCGTATCGAGCAAAAAGGGTTTAGTAAAGTCAGGATAAATCAATGGCGGAGCCCCCACTAGAGCGTCCCGGAGGGATCGAAAAGCAGCCTCCTCCTCCTGTCCCTAGTGAAACCTGACCCCCTTCGATGTCAAAGCATGTAAGGGCTTTGCAATTGTCGCGAATTCAGCGACAAAACGTCGGTAATATGACGCGAATCCAACGAAACTCCTGACCTCTCCCACGGAGGTGGGGGGTCGACCAGGAGCTGACACATTGCGTTTTGGCAGGATCGGTAGCAATACCTGAGCGTCCGACTGATGTGTCCCAAATACCTGCACTGATTTCGCGTAGCAAATGACATTTCTGGGGTTTGAAATTTCAAATTAGCAGCCCGCATTTTGAGAAAAACCGCACGCAACCTCTGGAGGTGTTCATCGAATGTTTTACTGAAGACGATGACGTCGTCTAAATAAATCAAACATGAATCCCATTGCAACCCAGCCAAGACCAATTCTATCAATCGCTGGAAAGTTGCCGGCGCTGAGTGGAGCTCCATCGGCAAGCGGTTGAATTGGAAAAGGCCGTGCGGCATACGGAAAGCAGTTTTAGGTTTTGATTCGTCATCCAGAGGGAGCTGCCAGAATCCTGAAAGCAAATCCAATGTGGAGAAGAATCGCGCCCCTGCCAAGGCGTCAAGCGATTCGTCCATCTGAGGGAGCGGGTATGCGTCGGCTACAGAAATTTTGTTCAGCCGACGAAAATCGACACAAAAGCGCAATGAGCCGTCATGCTTTTTAACTAAGACAATCGGCGCACCCCAAGGGCTGGTAGAAGGAGAAATGATATCGGCGGCTAACATGTCATCAACGGCCGATTTGACATGGTCCTTTTCGGTGGGACTTAACCGAAAAGGATTTTGGCGTATTGGCGCGCTGTCACCCATGTCAATATGGTGTCGCAGCAGTTTAGTACAACCCAGATCGTATTTGTGTTGACTAAAAACGTCGGAAAGCTCGCGCAGAAGGATTCTAAGTTTCTCACGCTGTGGGTCGGACAGGTCCGATGATCCCGCACAAAGCGCATCGAGCCACCCTTCATCACGGTCCGTATGTGGTTGCAACGGAGGAGCAGTGCTTACCTGACTAATGACGGGTTCCTCACAGGGCACCGGCGTTGCGTGCGCAAGCACGGTCCCTTGAGGAACCACCGCCGTACATGACCCCACATTGAGGACCGCGATGAAAGGGTCCCTGTCCCCTTTTACGATGGTCTGGGCCGGTATTAAGTCAGGTCCGTTAACGCCGACCTAGATGATTCCCAACAGAACCCCCTAGGTCCCCAATCCCCTTAGCAAATGGTCGACGTAGCCTAAGAGGCACGAGCATCTGAGCTCCCGGTGGTACGCGTACCGTCCTCGCAACCAGCGCTGGTACCGTCGCAAATGCCGTCCGATCCGTAGAGGGGGAGGGCAGGAACGAAACACGTCGGCCCGACGGGAGTTCAATGTAACCCTGATCGACTAGGATACGAATCAGCATTTTGGCCAAGAAATCTGTCCCCAACAGGCACGGAACCGCCAGTGAGGAGGAGGACAATATTGGGCCAGAAAATTTAATATCCCCAATACAAATTTGCGCGCAGATCTGTCCAATAATGCCCAGTGAGCCCCCGTTAGCAGCGTAGCACGGAACATCAACGGGGAGCAGGGAACGGCTTTGAATGGGGAGAATGTTATAAATCAATTCGGAAACAATAGTCGCCGATGCTCCCGTATCGACCAGGATTCGCACCTCAACCCCGTCAATATGCCCCACAATGACCGACGACCCCGACGACGCGGCAACAACGCGATGGGCCAACTCGGACCACTGGCTCGGTTGGAATGCACTCCCCACAGTGGCACGTTTCGGCGCGACGACAGGTAATTTACGACCCCTGTCCGTTGCGGTGCGTGAGTGTGTGACGGGTGTGTGCGTGGGCCAAACATGTGGGGTGCCACGACTCGCCGGGGTTTGCTGGTGAAACTTGGGTAGAGGCGCGATGTCCTGCCGAGGTGTCGCCCCGCGCTGTTGAGGAGCCCGGCATCCTGAGGCCACATGGCCCCGGAGGCCACAATTGTAGCAGCGCGTGAGTGCTCCGGATGACTTGGGCTGGTCCTGGCGGCTCGGTCCGTCCCGAGCTAGTCGTACTCCCGATCTCCACTCCGTCGGGCGATCGACGGCGCAGATTTTTTCCGCTGGGAGGGTGGCTGCAGCCACGGTATGGCTGGCCACCGCCTTGCTGGCCTTTCGACGCTGGGACAGCAAGTTCACATGGATGTGTCGCGCGGCCCGCAGGGAACACATCTCCATGTCGTCTTGCGCCAAGACGACAATGTCTAACTCGTCAGCCAACAGCAGGATTTTCTCCGTCACCATGGCGTCCACCCCTTCCTCATCCATCCGCAGGAAAGCCGTTTTCGCCAGTGCCAGGAGAGCCGTACGGTACGCCAGGGGCGACTCCTTGGCACCCTGCTGGCGATCGTAGAACAGCTACCTGCAGTCCGAAGGTGGTCCATAGACTGCAGCCAGGAGTTGAAGCGCCATCTGCAGTGTGGCGCGCTTCGCTCTCGGCGCCGAGGTGAGGGTAGCGAGGGCATCACTGTCGAGCATCGCCGGCAGCGCGCGGAGTGCTTCGGCATCCGTCCATTGTGCCATCTCTTGGTGAGCCAGAAAATGTCTCTGGAAGCCGCCCCAGTCACCGTCTTCGCCCACGAACTCCTTGAGAGGTGGTAAGCGCTGGTGTAACGCGGCGTCCGCAGTCGAGGGTCGCCCTCCGTCGCTCCCGTCACTCCGCACGGTTTTGGCGGGAAGGGCGTGTGGCATTGGCGGTCGCTCTGTTGGTGACGTGCTGGCCGCTTCTGACGACGTGGCGGCTTCTGTATGCCCGACCTCGGACGCGTGACTTAGCCCGGCCATGCCCTCAGCACTCACTGTAGCCATGGCGGAAAATTCGAAATCAGGCCCCGTGGAAATGGCAGGAACCGGCGCTGCGTGTCGGCTGTCATTGCTCCGTGCATCTCCACCAGCCCCCAGTCGCGTAATTTCTTCTAGTGTGGCGGCTGCAGCGTAAAGTAGTTCCGCCAGTCGCGAATGAGCCTGCCGCAGTCCGTCAACCGACGGCCCCCATCCGTCCAGACGTTGCGGTGTGGATGGACTTGGCCCTGGCTGCTCGGTGTCGCCTTCAGCCATCTCCGGCTCAAAGTCGGCCGTGGTTTCCTCCGCCCCCGGTTCCCTGGTACGAGCCGTCTGTCTCGTGTCCATCTTCGTAGAAGACCACTTCTGACGCCAGATGTAATAATGTTCAGGAGGACTTGGACGCCGGGGTTGGACGCACACTTATTTATTCAGTACAAGGTACAACACAGACCGGGACGTACAGCACTGGAAGGGGTGTCGGCCCCTTCACCCGTCTAACTGGGAAGTCATGCTCTAGGCTACACCTAGCCTACCTCTAGGTCCTCCACTATCGGGCTAGGGGAGGCTAGCTAACCCAGCCCTGGTTAAGTTGGGATTACGGCGCCCGGAGTCCCCAGACCGGCTCTGACAAGAGCATCGACTCTGCCTCTCGGGGCCACGCCACTGGCTCGATCCTGGTCGGCCCTGAGAAGGGCAGCGATCCAGGGGAGTCCCAGGGCTCTATCTAGTAGATCTTCCTTCTTCACTGGTTGAGCTTCATACATTCTGCCTCGAGCCCTCCGGCTCACCCCCTTATATATCCCTCCCCCGTTGAGGGGTGGGGCCGCGGGGGATCCCAGCTCCGTGTCAGCCCCCCAGGCTGAACGGTGCGGACGTCGCTGTGAGCACCTCCCCGCGCACAGACATAGCCACGCCCAGTGTGTTTGTTTACCGTCCGACACAACTGTATAACACCCCCTCCGTAACACCCCTACACTATTCACATCTCCGAGTACAAGGATTTCTTCCACAACACCTATGTCCGACACTACAACTATTTCTCCATCCACCATTACCTCAGAATCGACAACTTCAAGCACTGAATCTGTCTCAACAACAGCAACAATGTCTCCATTTTCAACCACATCATTTACATCAGCGACTGCAACAACTTCCAGTATCCTAACGGTGGCAACATCAGGAGCGACATCTCCGTTTTCTTCGACAATAGCTATTTCAGACACTACAACTATTTCTCCATCCACCATTACCTCAGAATCGACAACTTCAAGCACTGAATCTGTCTCAACAGCAGCAACAACGTCTGCATTGTCAAAAACACCATTTACATCTCCTACTACAACTTGTTCTTCCACAACACCTATGTCCGACACTACAACTATTTCTCCAGCCACCATTACCTCAGAATCGACAACTTCAAGCACTGAATCTGTCTCAACAACAGCAACAACGTCTCCATTTTCAACAACATCATTTACATCTCCTACTACAACGTTTTCTTCCACAACACCTATGACACTACAACTAATTCTCCATCCACCATTTTCTCAGAATCGACAACTTCAAGCACTGAATCTGTCTCAACAGCAGCAACAACGTCTCCATTGTCAACGACACTATTCACATCTCCGAGTACAACTATTTCTTCCACAACACCTATGTCAGACACTACAACTATTTCTCCATCCACCATTACCTCAGAATCGACAACTTCAAGCACTGAATCTGTCTCAACAGCAGCAACGTCTCCATTGTCAACAACACCATTTACATCTCCTACTACAACGTTTTGTTCCACAACACCTATGTCAGACACTACAACTAATTATCCATCCACCATTACCTCAGAATATACAACTTCGAGCACTGAAACTGTCTCAACAGCAGCAGCAACTTCTCCATTGTCAACAACAACATTTACATCAACGACTCCAACAGCTTCCAGTATACTAACGGTGGCAACATCAGGAGCGACATCTCAATTATCGACAGCATCATCCACATCACCAACATGACCGTTTTCTTCGACAACACCTACAGCAGACACTGCAACTGTTTCCCCATCCACAATTCCCTCAGAATCGACAACTTCAAGCACTGAATCTGTCTCAACAGCAGCAACAACTTCTCCATTTTCAACAACATCATTCACATCACCAACATCACTGTTTTCTTCGACAACAGACACTGCAACTGTTTCCCCATCCACAATTACCTCAGAATCGACAACTTCAATCACTGTATCTGTCTCAAGAGCATAAACAACTTCTACATTTTCAACAACATCATTTACATCAGCGACTGCAACAACTTCCAGTATCCTAACGGTGGCAACATCAGAAGCGACATCCCCGTTTTCTTCGACAATAGCTATTTCAGACACTACAACTATTTCTCCATCCACCATTACCTCAGAATCGACAACTTCAAGCACTGAATCTGTCTCAACAGCAGCAACAACGTCTGCATTGTCAAAAACACCATTTACATCTCCTACTACAACTTTTTCTTCCACAACACCTATGTCCGACACTACAACTATTTCTCCAGCCACCATTACCTCAGAATCGACAACTTCAAGCACTGAATCTGTCTCAACAACAGCAACAACGTCTCCATTTTCAACAACATCATTTACATCAGCGACTGCAACAACTTCCAGTATCCTAACCGTGGCAACATCAGGAGCGACATATCCATTTTCTTCGACAACAGCTATTTCAGACACTACAACTATTTCTCCATCCACCAATACCTCAGAATCGACAACTTCAAGCACTGAATCCGTCTCAACAGCAGCAACGTCTCCATTGTCAACAACAACATTTACATCAACGACTGCAACAGCTTCCAGTATACTAACGGTGGCAACATCAGGAGCGACATCTCAATTATCGACAGCATCATCCACATCACCAACATCACCGTTTTCTTCGACAACACCTACAGCAGACACTGCAACTGTTTCCCCACCCACAATTCCCTCAGAATCGACAACTTCAAGCACTGAATCTGTCTCAACAGCAGCAACAACTTCTCCATTTTCAACAACATCATTCACATCACCAACATCACTGTTTTCTTTGACAACAGACACTGCAACTGTTTCCCCATCCACAATTACCTCAGAATCGACAACTTCAATCACTGTATCTGTCTCAAGAGCATTAACAACTTCTACATTTTCAACAACATCATTTACATCAGCGACTGCAACAACTTCCAGTATACTAACGGTGGCAACATCAGGAGAGACATCTCCATTATCGACAACATCATCCACATCACCAACATCACCGTTTTTTTCGACAACACCTATATCAGACAATGCAACTGTTTCCCCATCCACAATTACCTCAGAATCGACAACTTCAAGCACTGAATCTGTCTCAATAACAGCAACAATGTCTCCATTTTCAACCACATCATTTACATCAGCGACTGCAACAACTTCCAGTATCCTAACGGTGGCAACATCAGGAGCGACATCTCCGTTTTCTTCGACAATAGCTATTTCAGACACTACAACTATTTCTCCATCCACCATTACCTCAGAATCGACAACTTCAAGCACTGAATCTGTCTCAACAGCAGCAGCAGCAACAACGTCTGCATTGTCAAAAACACCATTTACATCTCCTACTACAACTTTTTCTTCCACAACACCTATGTCCGACACTACAACTATTTCTCCATCCACCATTACCTCAGAATCGACAACTTCAAGCACTGAATCTGTCTCAACAACAGCAACAACGTCTCCATTTTCAACAACATCATTTACATCAGCGACTGCAACAACTTCCAGTATCCTAACCGTGGCAACATCAGGAGCGACATATCCATTTTCTTCGACAACAGCTATTTCAGACACTACAACTATTTCTCCATCCACCATTACCTCAGAATCGACAACTTCAAGCACCGAATCTGTCTCAACAGCAGCAACAACGTCTCCATTGTCAACAACACCATTTACATATCCTACTACAACGTTTTCTTCCACAACACCTATGTCAGACACTACAACTAATTCTCCATCCACCATTTCCTCAGAATCGACAACTTCAAGCACTGAAACTGTCTCAACAGCAGCATCAACTTCTGCATTGTCAACAACACCATTTATATCTGCGACTGAAACAACTTCCAGTATTCTAACGGTGGCAACATCAGGAGCGACATCTCCATTGTCGACAACATCAATAACATCACCAACAGCGCCGTTTCCTTCGACAACACCTACGGCAGACACTGCCACGATTTCCACATCCACCATTACCTCGGAAGCAACAACTTCAAGTACTGAAACGATTTCAACAGCCGCAACATCTCCATTGTCAACAACACCTTTCACATCAGCGACTGCAAGAACTTCCAATATAGAAACGATGTCAACATCAGGTGCAACTTCTCCATTGTCAACAACATCATTCACATCACCAACAGCCGCTCCGGAGCACCTTTGTCGAGGATGTAGCCCTGGACAAAGGTCTCCACGATGGCTGCTGCCGACTGGTTGGTGAGGGGCCAGGCCATAGGCCAGTACGTAAAATATTCTACCCCGGTCAATAGGTATCTATTTCCCCTGGGCGTAGCGGGGAATGGGCCTAGAATATCAAGCGCAACGAGCTCGTTCACCCTGGAAACTTTGGTAGATTGCAATGGCGGGTTAGACCCCCGCGCTGGTGGTTTCCGTTGCGCGCACTGAGTACACGACCCTAAAAGATCCTCAACATCCCTTGCCATGCCCGGCCAAGAAAAATCCAGCTGCAGCATGGCAAGGGTTTTGTGAGTCCCCAGGTGAAGGAGATGCTCGTGCGCAGCCCACACCACTCTACCCCTCAAAGCGGAAGGCACCACCAGCCGGTGTCGGCGGGATCTCCCGTCCCAATGAATCAACAGACCCTGAACCAACCCCCACGAGTCGACATTCTCCCCCCCCCCGACGCGATGGCGCAAAGCGAGGAGGGAGGTGTCCTCCATCTGGAGGCGCCCCCATTCCGCAACAGGCAACCCCAGCAAGGAATCCCTCCCCTGTTGCTCAATCGGACCCGTTATCGAAGGCGCGTCAGCGGCGGCCGCCAAGACCAGATCAGATATCTCATTCGGAGGCTTGCAACGCCCCGAACCCAGGAGGCATGCGCACTTGGAGGTGGTTGGTAACCGTGACAGAGCGTCTGCATTCGTGTGGCGAACGCCCTTACGATACGTAGTGTCAAAATCGAAATCCTGGAGAATCTCCAACCATCGAGACAATTGCCCCGATGGCTGTTGAACTCGCAAGGCGTACTGCAGTGCCGCATGATCTGTGCGGACGGTGAAATGACGACCGTACAGATATGGGCGATACTGTTGAATGAAGTT